TTGCTATACGATGTAAAAAAAATATTTGTTAAATTGTTAATCTGAGATGAGTATAGTTTAAATTAGTAAATAATAGTAAAGTAAAAGTAAAATGGTATACAATGTACATTATGATAAAAGTTCAATAAAATTGTTTTTTATAATTTATAAATTAGAAACTAGAAAGACACATTCACTCTTTATGTGACTTACATACTAATTTAAAAAAAAATAGATTAATTTTTTTTAAACTGAGTTAAGTTAATATTTTTTTCTATATTAGCTTTTAACTTATCGAGTTAAATTTATAATTTGTTAACTGTTAACTTTTAACTTATCGATCTTGTATCCTCTTAACTGAACTTAACTTGAGTTGATTATTTTCATTAACTTGCCCACCTTTTTATATATTATTATTGTAAGAGTTCAGCTGGGCCTTTCGAAATCACCACCGTAGTAGTAATCTACTTCCATACATGGACGCAATAAAAACTTTAAGAGTTTAACTATCGTTTATATACAGAGTGATTCGCAGGTCGTGTTCAACCCCCCCCCCCCTTTTCCTTCGACCTAATATGTACACAGGTAGTTATGTTCGAGATCTGAATTTTGGAATTTTTCAACACACTAAAAGACCAGTTAGGTCAAAGGTGTTATCAAATTCTAGAGATTTGTACTGATTTTCGAATGAGTATCACCATAGTACCTATCACCATTTTTAACTGTGAATTATTTATTGGATAATTTTTCTGAAAATTTTTATTTGTACGTCAGTAGTTTTCGAGTATTCGAGTGACTGATCCATCAACGAGAACAATTTGGTCAAAATGGTTGTATTGTATTTTAAATTTTTTGTAAAACCGTTTTTAAAATGATAACAACTGAGAAACCACTATAGGTCTAGTTAAATCAAAATGTTCAAAATAATTATCCACTAAAAAAAATGCCCCCCCTCCCCGGGTTGTTTTGAAAAACAGAAGTCTGTAGGACACTCTTTAAACAGGTACCTGGCACATAAATATTCAAGAATTTGGAAAAATGGTGCAACGAACTATTCGAACTGTTCAACCAGTCGCCTTGTATAATATATATCGCAGAATATTGCTGCTATTAATTTCGACGTACCACTCTAACGCACGCTTAATACGTACAGGTATAAATACAGCGGTATATATTGTTATATTAACAGATTTCCATTATATAAACGCGTGTATGTACCTAAATAATATTTTAATATGTGTATTTTGAACTACATCAAAGTTAAATATCACACACACACTTGTACACCGATATATAATACTATGTGAAGCTCTTGTATACTTCGTAAATACGTCGAATTTAAAGTAACAAGTAACTAACATAATATAATGTATCATGCACTCGCTGTATGCTATACAGGGTGATTCAACATGGAATGATCTTATAAACTTTTGTCGTTCAAACTAGGATCCAATTTTCAACTGTAAATTATTGGGTAGGCAGATAATGTTTTTACCAACCAAATCTCATTTGAAAAACAGAATTTTGTATCTCTACTGGAGACTCCATAAGTAGTACCAAAAACATTTGAATATATTATGGTCTTTAAGTTTATTTAAGAATTCCAAAAATCAAAATTTGAATACATTTATTATTTAAGTAAGTAAAAAACGGAGGAGAGCGTGCTTGGTGAATCACTCTATATATGTACATATATACGTCGGTGTTGTTTAGTATTATTAGAATATTATTGCATTAATTAAATATAATTTAATAATTTAAATTATATTTATATTTCAAATAATAATACGCTTCTCGATTTAATAAACATTTTGACTATAGAATGTTTTAAATACATTAAAAATACCTCTTTGTTTTATTCGAAATTTTATTCCAGAATACTAAATTTAGCTTTTTCTTTTCACCGTCATATTTCGACGACTAATACTTTTGTTTCGCATTTTACGAGATATTTTAAAATGCTTCTGAGAACTACTAAAATGTATAATTTTCTAGCTGAATTTTAACTTGGGCCTGATTAAAACACACTAATAGGCGAAATCTGATTTTTGGAATTTAATATACTCAAAGACCACATTTTCAAATTCTTGAATTTGTTTTTTTTCTACTTAAAGAGCGTCCTGTGGAGATATAAACTTCTGTTTTTCAAACGACAATCCCCTTAAATAATCTTTTTATCCGCCAAGTAATTTACAGTTGAATAGGGGATTCTCGTTTGAATAAAAGAAGTTTGTACCTCCGTAGGACGCTCTCTAAGTAGCACACAAAAAAATTCAAAAACTTGATAGTATTTTCTTTAAGTACCTATGTATTAAAAAAAAAAAAACAAAAAATCAAAGTTTAAACAAATTCATTATTTGTGTAAGAAATGGAGGTGAGCGTGTCTGGCGATATATGTACAATATGTGTTGTTAACTGTTAAGTAGGTACCTATTATTAGAATATTATTGCATTTAAATGTACTTTTTTGGTATTTCAAATAACAATAAGCTTCTCGATTTAATATACATTTTGACTATAGAATGTTTTAAATACATTAAAAATACCTCTTCGTTTCCATCGTATTTTATTCCAGAATACTGAATGTTGTTTTTTCTTTTCACCGTCGTGTTCGACGATTAATACTTTTTTTTCGCATTTCACGAGGTATTTTAAAACGCTTCTGAGAATCGCTAAAATGAATACATTTCCAGCTTGAACTGATGGAAACACAATAATATTAGGTATGGACGTCTGAAATTCTCGAACCAACTGAAGAATGTTTTTGCGGATTATTTCATTTAAATTTATTTAAATTTCATTAACAATTTTAAGTATAACTAGGTACGCAATTGTCTACAAACTTACAAAATAAATATTTGAATATACAAAAAGTACTTGCGTAGAAATATAGGATATACTTTTAAAATGCATTTATACTCGTGTCCATAATAGTTTAAGACTGATCATTTGGTCAATCTTTTGTAAACTATTTAGGACCTGTGTTTTTTAACCCTATGCCATGTCAGTATAAAAAAAAATATTCAGCTGTCTGAAAATAATGCTAAAAAGTTAGTGTACAATTGGTTGTTCTCTCAAATAATTTAAAATATTTTAAAATCTACTGCTGTATTTAATTTGATTACTATTTGTATATACTTGTTTCCTTTTGTTTGTTTTTAATTTGTTATATACTTATATTATATGTTTATAATAATTATTATTTAAGACTGTATTACTCTCTATCTCTAAGCTTTTAGCTTAAAAGATATAGATAATCATGAATAATTTTTATAATTAAATTTTGTAAGTTATGATGATTTCAAATAAAAAAAAAAAAACAAAAAAGACTAATAAAAATAAAAATTACACCCGTGTTTGAATACGTATTCCGAATACATTCCAAAAGTATTTTCAACACATCAAAATATATGGTACTGATATTTTAAGCTAATAGTAGTCTAACCCATGTGCCATACACCGATTTAGGTAAGCCGTTTCCGATTTTGATCATTACACAAATTTAAAAAAGAAACGACGATAAATATTCGTGTACTCGCCAATTTTTATTTTATTCAGTCATTAAACATCCAAGTTCAAGGGCTTCCCCCATGGTGTTTCGATATTGTGTCATGCCGTCGATTGCACAGCGAAACGCCAACATCATAAACGTCTGCATATGTCTATCCATCCCGTCTGTTTCGGTCGATGTTTTATCTAGTGAAAGACGGTGTCAAGATGTAACAATAATATAATATTAAAATTGAACCTAGAACACAGTCATCTGCACGTCTACCCACATGGACTCACATGTATACATAATAATATAGTTAACTGATTCGGAGTGCACAAATTTCGGAAAATTAATAGTTTGTACCTTAATTTTGTGTGCGTCCCGAGCACAGGTCGTTTACTTTGAATATTTTAAATTGAAACGTACAGTATATTTTAATGTCGTTGTATCATGCTCGTCTGCATTATGCTTATACGTCTTCTGCCGCTTTCGCCATGGGAGGTATAATAATAATAAATATATATTGTGTGTGTGTGTGTGTGTGTGTGGGAAATATTATCATTTATTCTTTCGGGTAAATATGTCACGAAACGAGAGGCAAGCCGACGTCTCTATATACCCACTGTATTTTTTTTTTATTGGACGTTCTCGAGCGAGGACCACGATATTATTATTATATCTTTATAACAAACAACAAAAATATTATACTCGCCTCTCGTACATGTATTATACCTATACTTCTAGTTTCGATGATTTTTCCAGTATATTATTATTATATTATCCTAATGCGGCGCAATGCAAAGGACTCTGTACGATTATCGAACCGGCCGTTTGTACAATATAATATATTATGTTATTTTAACCAAATCCGTTATTGTCGTGTGTGTGTGTGTGTGTGTATTGAATTGTTAAAAAATATATATATCATAATAAGGTATACGCGAGGTTATTTGTTTAACACTTTACGACCGCGTATACCTATGTAATATTGTGCTCTTCAGACGTAGGTAATATATGCGACGAAAGAATATTAGGGGCACAATAATATCGGAGATACCTACACCTACACCTATCTCTGAACGAAAATAAAATCTTTATATATAAAAATGGAGACAAAAAATTAGAAATAGCATCAGTTGAGAACGGCTTGGCCGATTTTGCTCAAATTTTTTTTAAATGATAGAGAATGTCGGTGAGCGGGTTTATAGCATAAATTATGGACCTAACTCATGTTAGTTAGAGATTTAGAGACAAAAACTGAGTTACACCGGTGGCGCCCTCTAGCAGATAAAAATAAAAATAAAAATATAATATTAATAATAATAAAAATCGAAAAAAAAAATATATTTTTATATTCTGATTGATATACATTTTTTATTATAGACACTTATAACTTAAGAGTAAACAAATATAATATAGTTGGCACATTATTCATTTTACTTTGAAACATTATCGTTTTATGTTATCTATGAACTTTTTCAATCAAAAACGACTATTGTTTTTTGGAGAGAATTTTTATGCTTGAATCATGCCTCCTATGAGAAGAACAAACATTGGACGGCGTACACGTAATGCAAGAAAGATTAATGAATTTAGACGTGCCAGTAGACGTACTCAGGCCAGCGCTGCACAAACACCGAGAGTTGCGTTGCAAAACGACCCATCGGCTGCCGAATTCTCGAGACAACTGCCGATTCCGATTGATGTTTTGACTGGATTAATATCGTTTCCGGCAAATTTTTGTGAGTTCACATCGTCGAAGGAAGAACTCATTACAAAAGTGTTCCCAAACATTGATGTCAATTATAACAATCTCGATTGGGCAATACTAGCAGCGAGGAATAAGGACGTCGATAGCTTAAATTTTACAATAAAATTTTTCATACATAGAATAATAAGCAAATTAGATAAGAGTATTAAAAACATGAGTAATATGACGGAAGAAGCCACCCAATGATGACACTACCTATTTTGTTTAGAGTTTAGGAGGATTTTAACTAGAATTCAAGCGTATAGCAGGTCACGACACCAATTACGTTTGAGACGTCTGACAGGGTTACCCGGAATTTATGAGAGGGTTAGGATGATTAAGTAACCTACTGTGAAACCGCTTATAGACTATAGTAGAGTTTTACGCCAAATATTAAATAACGAATTGAACAAGGCTTGAGTCACATATAGTTGGTACACTTAATGGGCAACGAAGTGCACGGGTTCAGCTATAGATAGAATTATGTTATAGATTATAGATCAATTTTTTTTACACCATGTATATATATAAAAATGGAGACAAAAAATTCGAAATTGCATCAATTGAGAACGGCTGGGCCGATTTTGCTCAAATTTTTTTTAAGATGTTCGTAATTGCCAGGTGAAGGTTTTTACGAAAGAAAATTTTTAAAAAGTCAACCGAATAATTAGAAAAACTGCAAAAACTATTTATTGATGTCTGGGATTTGAACTCGATACTGTTGTCTTTATTTACTCTATTGTGTATTATATTATATTGGTTGCTATTGGTTAATCGGGCATGTTTGTTGATTTGTATTATTATTTTTTGTAAATATATAAGATATATAAATGAATGAAGGGGTGTAGATTAGACCTATGGGAAGAAGATACGCTAATTTAAAAAGGGTTAAATTTGGTTTTTTTTATTCATCGGATTTTAGTACGGTTAGGTTAGGTTATTATTTATAGGTAGGTGGAATTAAGTAAAAACGTCAAACTTGGTATAACTTTGGTACTTTTTGAGTTAAATCATACACTTACGTACAAACAGCACGGGGTCCGTGATCTACCGCAGGTAAATTACCTATCTGATAATGTACTGCTGCAATTCAGAATTTTTATTCCGAGCAACAGAAAAGTTAAGATAAATCTAGAACATCATACACCGAATATTAAATAACGCATTGAACAACGTTTGAGTCATATAGAGTTGGTACATTTAACGGGAAACGAAGTGCACGGGATCAGCTAGTTATATCTTAAAAAACGTCGAGATATAAATCATATTGTTTGATGAGAAATTATAGGTAGGTAGGTACTATATGCCTATAATTTCCAAGGCCGGACGTTAACGAGTTAAGGATTTAAGGTTAAATTAAAAAATTTATTTTATTTTAACTTTTTGACTTGACTAGTTACTTTTGGATTTTCATTGACTTAGCTGTTTACTTACTAAATTGCTTTTTTTAATTAACGTGAAACTAACGAATTCATTTTTCATTTTTAGAAGTAAGTCTAGTTAATTTATTTTGTTTTTATATTTCAGTCTATTTCGTTTTCGTGTAGAAAAATATTTACCGTGAATCGTTTAAAGTTAAAAAATTATTGAATTTTAATCAAACTTATATGGAAATACTGTATAGAATATAAACACTATAGTTACTATAGTTGAATGGGAATTTGTTAAAGGGGACCCAAGTTATATTTTCGACAAAAATAGTTGTGTTGTATATTATTCATCCTCTTGTGTAAACACATATTATATGATCATAATTTGTAAATCAAACTGACTGATTCGATAAACATGAACATGAGTTTTTCTTTTTTTTTAATTTTAATAAAAAAATATTGTTTTTTTAAGATTGTTATTCATTTGTTTATATTCAAAGTTTGTTATTTAGTTGCATTGTTATATTATATTTAATTGGATAAAACAAATAAGAAGGTATTATATTATTTAAAAATGTGACTATTATATTGAATTACGATACCTTAATAAATTAATACAATTTATCAGAATTTGTTTAAAGGTACCTGTGTCACATTACAAAAATTCTTTATTTATAAAAGTACAATTTTTTTTTTTTGCTATTTATTTTTTATACAATACTATTGAATCTAAATTGTGATGATTGATCTTATCGCGCATATATAAATAAAGGAAAACTGTTTTCTGTTTCTCCTGAAAAGTAGTTGAAAATGTACATGGGTCCCTTTTGACAAATCACCATTCAGTTATAGACTCTAGTTTTGGGTTTGGAAAAAAATCAAGAAGGCCAGCGTTTTATAAGAAAATTACCATTTTTTTTAACTTAATAAAAAATTAACAAAAAGTATGTATGAACTTAACTGAGTTCACTAACTTGCCCAGTCTTTCCTATTTGTCACTATCAAGTTAAGGTTTTTGGAAAAAACCCCGACATAGACCGTAGTCCGATTCGCCTTTCGACACAACGTTTTTTAAAATATTATTTCGAAAAAAAAAATGAGTCGTGTTCGATGGATATTGTCGTTTCACTCGACTCAATAAGTATGACACGTGCTTAAACTTACGACGTGTGTTACCCACCCTAAGCTAATGACTGTATTATCCAAAATTCAAATCGACCATCACTTATGTTACTTGAGGTGCGCCGTCGGTGGCGCCAACTTTTATCGTTCTATGTCCGTCGTTCCTTTTATACCGCTCCTCTTGACCATAATATTATCTATTGGTAGAGGTGTATTCAAGTGTGGTCGGAAAGCATACTGGTCACCAAAGTGGTAAATATATGTAATCGAGGTGTGGTATAATACCACTTTGGTTTGTACTTGTTATTAAAGACTTACACGCTCTGCTACCATAGTTAGTAGGTAATAGCAACAGTCAAAAATAATAATATTGCAATTAATTATTGAATTCGACATATTTTGGCAGACATCGGATTTGTTTATCTTAACCTGCAGTATCTGTAACCGCATATAACCGAGCTATGGTAACTAGCAGAGTCTCAAATCACGGTATACTGCTTACATTAGGCATAGGACCGTCCTATCCATGTATATAATATTATCAGCTGTTTACCACTGGCATATCGCAGAGTTTAGGAAGGGGGGGGGGTGAGACGAGGTAATAAATCGATAACTCTATCCGTGAAAAACCGTGGAAAACAACATCGACGGACTCAAAATGGCGGCCTCCGAAGACGGGACACGATTCTTATTAAAATCACAACACGCTTTCCTTACAATATTCAGTTCAGTGCTTTACGGTGCCAAGCAAAATATATTATGTCGCCTCAGCGCGATTTCCTTCTCGGGCCCTCTTTATATATTTGACTATATATATTATTAATTATTATTATACCTGCTGTGTACACACAAAAACGAATATTTCTATGTTTGTCCTCAGTAGTAGACTCGTAAACCTGCACTGGACCTCTTTTTCGATAAAAGTTATATCAATAAATTCCTCGATACCATATATGTCGGAGAGTGGTTATAGTTTACGTTTTCAACCCCTATATGTTGTATTATATAGTGGGTTGCTTAAGTGGGTGGCTCCTCGCCCGTGAATTTAGTTTTTGGCTCAGGAGTATTTATTTTTTTTTTGTTTACTCAAACGGTTGCCATTGGTTACAGATGTATGTATGTATTGTTGGTACTATTATACCTAATTAGTACGTAAATGTAATTCAGAGTGTAAAAACGTGTACAAATATATTTGAAAAAAAAAAGTACAAAATACAAATGGACACTATATTATTACAACGATTACTTTTACGATTTACCATGTTCTTATTAATTATTCCGGACATAAAGTTTTCGATGTAAACACACAACGAATATTGAGTCAGTTTATTAATATGTGCTGGATTATTTAGTGGAAAATCGTCAAATCAAATCCTTGTCTGTTATCTGCGTCAAATAAATATATTTAAACTTGAGAAAAACCGAAAACGATATAAGGATAGATCAAACCTGGAGCGATCATCACCTCTATATTATTATAAATAATATCGTGTCTCCGCATAAATATCACATAATTATTATTATTAGAACGTTAAAATTGTCCGTTTATACCAGCTGGTACCCACTTTTATGTACCAGAATAATACCATCAAGGTGGGTTTCCACTTAATACGTGTACACGTCCATACGGATCCGTTCGATATGAACGGCCTCTCAAACGTTTCCCATCGGTTAAGATGGGTTAGATCGGTTAGGGTTTGGTAACATATATTTGTCATAATATATTCTTATGACATCAATATTTTTATCAATATAGATCTGTGTACACGAAGAAGTTGAAATCACGGATATAGATACTATATGGTTGCACGACGGCGCATATTGAATCACAGCACCGAGTGGCACTGAATGTTCTTATCAATTCTGACAAAAAGCCGCGTCTTACTAGTGCCCTCTACAACCACCTCTATAACCAAATCTGGTCACCTAGCCACTGTGGAGCGCCCGACTTTTTTTTGTATGGATACTATGTAACTTGATAAGAACATTTGGCGCCGTTATATTATTGCTCGTTGTGCAACCATAGTATCTATATCCGTGGTTGAAATAGGTCCAACTTCATGGTATCGTATGATGGTTAAAGGTGGGTTTCCACTAGATACGTGTGCGTGTACGTGCATAAAAATACTTTTCTGTGATTGGTTGGTATACATGGTAAGCTTTTGGTATACCAGAATGTTCTACGTTCTTACCACAGGCTTGACCATGATACCATGAAGTTTAAAGGCGCATTCACAGCTACGCCGTGTGCAGTGTCGTGCGATGGCTTGGTTATTATATGGTTACGACTGGTAACCAATATAGTATAAAAGTTGAGCAGTAGTCAATTCTTGGTATACTCGGTTGCACCTTGGTTATTACATGATACCAAAAAAGTAATATCCAATCACAATACGATCGACACGACACGACACGACACACGACGCAGCTGTGAATCCGGCTTAATCCAGTTCAACTTTTCATATGTACACAACTCTATATTGATAACATAAGAATATACGAGGTAACTAATATGTTACCAATGCTAACCGATCAACCGATGGGAAACGTTTATGCGACCGTTCATAGCGAACGTATCCGGTCAATATATGCATGTAAACGTACACGTATGTAGTGGAAACCCACCTTTAACCTGTGCTAAGAACGTATTAACACTCTGGTATACCTAAAGCTTACCATGTTTACCGACCAATCACAGAAACCCACCTTATTATT